AAGGAACAGGTCCCCGCCCGTGCGATCTTTGTGCAGGGTTCTTTGTGGGTGTGGTCGGCGACTAGCCGGGGTCGTCCTCCCGATGGGGGACTAGCACTAGCCGTCTTCCACATTGTACCTCGGGTCCCTGCTGCTCCTAATCTTTTCGTACATCCTCCTGCTGATCTCCGCAAAGTCCTGCTCCCTCCCTCGTCTCGCCCTGCGCGTCTGCTCCGCCTCCCCGTCGTCTGCCCTGCGTCGTCTGGTGACGGGTCCTCCATAGTCGGTGGAGGTCGCCGCCCTCCTCGTGCCTCTTCCCAACGTTCCCTCGGCGGCCGATGCCGTCTGCTCCGGCTCCCCAGTCCCCGGGTCTGCCCTGCCCTCGTCTGCACTAGCTTCTGCTTCATCATCACTGGCGCCTCTCCTCTTCTTTCTCCTCTTCTTGTATGCTTTGTACATCGCGTCGATTCCTTTTCGCGTGAGCACCCCCCTGAAGCCCACCCAGCAGCTGTACCGCTCCCTAAGTCGAAGGAGCATCATCAGTCTCGCCCACTTCGCTCGCTGCCCACTGTCTCCGCTCCCTCCCGCTTGAGCCGCCGTCGCGGCCTTTGTTTACCCATCTCCTAGTAGAGGTGTCCGTTTTATTTATTTATTGTGACGCTTTGTTTCGTCTTTCGAACACAATCATGATCATCATCTCAACACGACACGCAAAAATCTATATTCGTAATCCTGGTGAGTGGTGATCCCGCTCACCGTCCCCTTTCCCTCAAAAATACACGTAACGTAAACAGACATACCAGAGCAGCACGCCAACAACCGAAAACCGACCAAGCAACCCACGTGCGCAGCGCGCAGTCCAACTCGCAATCCTCACGAGGAGCGCACGGGACCGCACCTGGAAGGTGGAGAGAAAGGACGGAGACGTTGAGAAGAGGGAGAGGGAGGAGAGAGATAGAGTCATCACCACACAGACCAACATGCGACACCTTGCCGCTCGCGCCGCCGCGAGTCCTCGCGTGCACCGGCCGTGCGCTGGCGGCCGGTAGCCGTCGCCCACGGCAGCGGCCTAGCGCGCCTTGAGCCCCTTTAGCTTTTGCACGACGCCGCCGACGGGGTCGGCCTGAGGGGGAGCAGCAGGCGGTGGGACTGGTGAGCGGCGCGCGGAGTGACGAGCGGCTGTCGCTGGCCCGTGCGGCAAGCCTGCTTGGGTTGGGACGGCGACGCCTGGTTGGCCTCTGCCAGAGGCTGCAAGGGGGAGGCCGCCTCCTTGCGAGTCGCCTCCTTCGCCCCCGCGGGGTCCACCTCTTCCGCCGTCCAGCCGCGACGAATCGGCGGCGGGCGCCCCACGTCTGGCGTCGACGCCTTTGCGCACTCGGGCCGGAAGCGGCACATCTCCCGCCA